GAAATTATGCATTTTATTCGTATTCATCTTTATATTATTATAATGATTTTTGAATTTGTTAATTATTTCATAATTGCTGTCTAAATGTAATGAATGTCTTCATTGTTTGTTTAAAACATGGTGTTTATGTTTGTTAGATCATTGAAATGAATTATCATGTTGCAAATTAATTCTTGTTAAATGTTTAAAAGGTAAAAAAATAGTAGAAAATACAATTAGATGAAAATATTTGTGATTAAATATGAGAATAACATATTTGTACATTATTAGTTATATCTTTCTAATTCGATTTCTGTATTAAATGAATACATTTGTTGATGAAATTGAAATAAAATAAATATAAAATGAAAATGATAAATGAAAGAATAAAGAAAATAATAAGAAAATAAATATAATGATTAATGATAAAATTAATGAGTTATTATCATGAATGAAAGTTGAAGATGAACATTATATTCATTATTATTATTTATAATTGATTAATTTATAATACATATTAAAGAGTCATTCTTCATTCTGTATTATTGTGTTGATGTTTAAATTATTCAATTTGTTATTATCATATCATCATTTCATTGACACTGTTATTTATTATCTTTTTATTTGTTTCATCATTTATCTCTTGTTTGATATGATAATATAAATAATTTACATTGTACTTTATCATCATTCATCATTGATAATCATCTGTGATATAATTTAATTTTCATATCAATAATTATATCATTTAAATAAATAAATAATAACATTTGTTAACATATCATTATGACATCTCATCATTATGATAAATGAAATGGAACATATTTACTCATTAATAACAATACGATTGATATTCATATTTATGTAATCATTGTTATTCATAACTAACATTATAAATTTGAATTAACATAATGTTCTTCTTTATTACATTTCATAATGATATTTTCACATTAAAATAGAATTGAAGGTAAATGAAAAGAAATAAAGAATAATATAAAATGAACACAATTATGAATGAATATAATCAACAAGTCAATACACATCATACTCAATACAACAAGAAGTTACAAAATGTCAACTGATTGTTATAGAATTATTATTTTACCTACTTTTTATTTTATTTTATATTTTATAATTTTAAGAGAAAATAATAGAAAACAGAATATTCCATTATGCAAAAAATATATTACACTATTTTCAATTGATCATTTTATTTAAATGCATAATTTCTTCGCTTTTTTGGTTCCCATTCTTCTACAACAAGTCTAATGTTCAATTAATCATTCTGAACAATTTCTTGATGCGGTATTAACTTTAGTATACCAGAAATAAAGTGTTGAATATCAGAATTAATTACCAATACAACATCTTCTTTATTAATTTCATATCATTCAATTACAACTAAAAACAGTCAATAATTTGATTAAAAATAACAATATTACATTAATTTTATTCAAAATTAATGGATTTAAGTTTTTTCTCATGTTTATTTGAAAAATATCATCCATAACTAAACAACAGAAATTGTTAACATTCAAAGAAAAATGAAAATGAAAATTACGTATTACTTTAAGTATTTCTTGAAAAAGAATTAACATATTTTTCTATTTTATTTTCAAGAAAAAGAACAAAAATGAAACAAATAAACATATTCTCAATGAGATGTTATGAATAATGAGAATTGTTATTTCAATTATTTTTATACATTCTGTTTCAATTATAACGTTTATTTTTAATGTTCTTTTATCTGAATATCATTATTTTAATATATTAACAGAATGAAATAACTAAATTATTCTAATTGCTTCACTAATTACATAATTGGTGTTTGTGTTATTTTGTTAAAATGTAATTATACTTATAGTGTTGTGTTTTTATTCATTCTTTATGTGTTATTCAGTTTATTGTTATTCTTTTATTGTTCATTTTCTTCCAATTCATTCATCTCTTCTTCTTATTTTATTAGTTCATCTGTTTCTTCTTTATTCTTTCATTTCTCCTATTTCTTTATTGTGTTTTATTATGTGATTTTTCTATTATGATAATACCGTTTGTTTCTATTGGAATTATTGTTAAAATATTATGACAATGATGATTGAAGTAACAAATGAAAATATAATGTTATGATGATAATTCATTTATTTCTCAATACTAATGATACATATTCTCATTCTTTTATTATGACTGTTTATCTTTGTTGTAGTATTTCATCTAATACAGCATTTTAAACTAATACACGAAATAAAGAA